CTCCCGCCAACAGATTCATTACCTAGATCTGAGATAGAGCGAGAGCAGGGCGGGCACGTGAAGTGTTGAAAGAGTGATATGCCCGAGGCCCGAAGGCGCGTTCGGGACTCGTTCGGGACTCCCTCGGGACTCGTTCGCGAGCAGCGCGCAGCGTAACGCTCTGGCCACCAGGGCGGCTCCCGCCATGTGAGAGCGGTTCCTGGGACACGATCGGATATGACGGGCGGCGAACGGTCGCTCAACCACATGGGCGTGAGTGGAAGCGGTCACTCCGAGCACCCGCCGCCCTGCCACAGGGCCCCGAGAAGCGCTCAGTCCGGCGTGGTGCAGAGCCCCGCCCACGCGCCCGCGAGAGCTGCAGGCGGCGACAGCAGCATGGACTCCTTCAGGAAGTCGCCGGACCACATGTGCCTGCACAAGGAGTCCTGCATGGTGGAGAGCCTCACGCGACAGCTGCACGACACGTCCCTGGACCTGTTCGGCGAGGACGACTGCGTGGAGGGCGCGGACTCCGCCTTCGAGGAAGAGTCGTCCGACTTCTGGATGAGTCCCGGACTCACTCGCCAGAACTCGTACCTCGAGTCCGTCCCTGAAAACTGCAGTCTGAGCCGCCGCTCCTCGCTCCTGGAGGAGGACCTGAAGGAGCCGCTGAGCCGCCGCGCCTCCAAGGACTCCCGCAGCGCCCTCTCCCGGCGGGGCTCCATGCTGGACGAGCTGGAGCCCCGCGACGCCCGGGAGCCTCAGCCGCTGGGCCGGCGGGACTCCCTGCTGGAGGCCGTCCTGGCTGCCAAGCGCGGGGGCTGGCGCGGCCTCGTGCGCACCGACAGCATGGAGAGCGGCGCCTCCATGGCCTCCTCCATGGCCTCCGTCAGCAGCAGCAGCGAGGGCTCGGTGTGTCCGTGCGACGACTGCATGCTGGGCCTCACCGACCTCCTGCTGGTCCCGGCCCCGCACTCTCAGCCCTCGCGCCCCAAGAAGGTAAACACTTGTCTTTTGCTTTGGTGTCCCCGCAGCGCCAGCTCAGGTAGGTGCCGAGTGGGCCGGCCTCCCGCGCCGCCCCTCGCTGACCCTCGGGATTCAGGGCGGAGGCACCACTTGGGCTCCTGGGAATCTTGTCATGCTATTCTGTTATCCTGTCCTGTTGTGGGTCCTAATTTGAGCTGAGATAAGAACGAAAATAACAGTTATTGATGACATCATAGATTGCCCGAACACTTGTATTATAGTTTTTTTATGACTATCACACTTTCACAACACTCGTGATATCAGTGCGATGAAAACAACACAAAAACATTAGGATGGAATGTGAGAATGGAAAAAAAATCATGTAAGTGAGGCTGTGATCATACAAACCTTGTTCAAACATGCATACACACCTATATACATACATAATATGAAAGAAAGAGAGAGAGAGAGAGAGAGAGAGAGAGAGAGAGAGAGAGAGAGAGGAGAGAGAGAGAGAGAGGAGCGGGGGAGAGAGAAGGGGGGGGGAGAGATAGAGAGGAGGGTGGGAGAAGCAGAGAGGCTGGGAAAGAGAGAGAGAGAAAGGGGGGAAAAGAAAGTAATAGAGATAGGGGGGGAAAAGAGAGAGATGGGGGAGAGAAATAGTAAGAGAAGAGGAGAGAAAGAGTGAGAGGAGGAGAGAAAGAGAGAGAGAGGAGGGGAGAGAGAAAGAGAGAGACAGGAGGGGAGAGAGAAAGAGAGAGAGAGGAGAGAGAGAGGAGGAGAGAGAGAGAGAGAGAGAGAGAGAGAGAGAGGAGAGAGGAGAGAGAGAGAGAGAGGAGGGGGGGAGGGAGGAAGAGAGAGGAGAGAGGAGGGGGGAGAGGGAGGAAGAGAGAGAGAGAGAGGAGGGAGAGGGAGGGAAGAGAGAGAGAGAGAGGAGGGGGGAGAGGGAGGAAGAGAGAGAGAGAGGAGGGAGGAGAGAGGGAGGAAGAGAGAGAGAGAGAGAGAGGGGGGGGAGAGGGAGAAGAGAGAGAGAGAGGAGGAGGGGAGAGGGAGGAAAGAGAGAGAGAGAGAGGGGGAGAGGGAGGAAGAGAGAGAGAGAGGAGGGGGAGAGGAGAAGAGAGAGAGAGAGGAGAGGGGAGAGGGAGAAGAGAGAGAGAGAGAGAGGGGAGAGGAGAGAAGAGAGAGAGAGAGAGAGAGAGAGAGAGAGAGAGAGGAGAGAGAGAGAGAGAGAGAGAGAGAGAGAGAGAGAGAGAGAAGAGAGAGAGAGGAGAAGAGAGGAGAGAGAGAGGGGAAAGAGAGAGAGAGAAAGAGAGAGAGAGAGGAGGGGAGAGAGAAAGAAAGAGAGAGGAGGGGAGAGAGAAAGAGAGAGAGAGGAGGGGAGAAAAAGAGAGAGAGAGGAGGGAGAGAGGAGAGAGAGAGGAGGAGGAAGGAGAGAGAGAAGAGAGAGAGCAGAGAGAGAGAGAGAGAGAGAGAGAGGGAAGGAGAGAGAGAGAGAGAGAGAGAGGAGGGAGGAAGGAGAGAGAGAGAGAGAGAGGAGAGAGAGGCGGAGAGAAGAGAGAGAGAGAGAGAGAGAGAGAAGAGAGAGGAGAGAGAGAGAGAGAGAAGAGAGAGAGAGAGAAGGAGAGAGAGAGAGAAGGGGAGAGAGAGAGAGAGAAAGAGAGAGAGAGAGAGAGAGAGAGAGAGAGAGAGAGAGAGAGAGAGAGAGAGAGAGAGAGAGAGAGAGAGAGAGAAATAAAGATAGAGAGAGAGAGAGAGGGAGAGAAATAGAAGAGAGAGAGAGAGGAGGAAGAGAGAGATAGAGAGAAGAGAGATGAAGAAAAAAGAAGAAGAGAGAGGAGAGGAAAGATAGAAAGAGAGAGAAACACAGGAAGGATATCAAGAACCAAAAGGCTTAAAGAGCGGCAGCTTCCGACATCCGCCGCGTGAAAACAAGCATAAATCATAACTATAAACCTTCCGAAACCTCCACCAATTCTAAGAGAATGGCGCCACCGACAAGAACTACGGGTTTTATCGGACGAGTGAGATCAGCTGAGCGCCACAAATGAACAAGTAAGGCAACAACCACAGTAGACTCGAGTGCCAGCCGAGAGATGCAAGATTACAGCTGATTGATGGCTCGCCGCGCTCGTAGGTCAGCGCGGACAGTCAGTTAGTTCGGCGGGCGCGGGGAGACCAGTTACTCTCGTGATTTAGTTGTTTACAGTAGACTCGGAGAGGTTTAGGAAAGGGTCAGAGGTATTAGTGAGGAGACGGGGAGATTAACAAGCGAATTGGATCAAATGAGAGATTGTGTGACTTTCATTTCTGGTTTCTTTTCTTTCTTTCTTTCTTTTTCTTTTCTTTTTTTATTTATTTTTTTTTTTTTCAAAGACTGTAGACAAGGATCGCGGCAACCTGTTTCTCGTTTTCTTTCGCGTTTAGATTGGATGACCACTTGGTAAGGGCTGTCCCCGAGATGCTTTGGAGGCACGAAATGGTAGACAGACGGGATGCGGCGTCAGTCCACCCGCACTTGCGTCCCGGTCGGTGGTCCAGATAGCGAAATGGTTCAAGTAGCGAAACCAAGTAAAAGGAGACGACTTTGTTACTGAGATTAAGATTGAGGAGGAGAGGAGGGACGGGCCAGAGATTGGGAAATGGAGGGAAATGGAGGCCGTCCTTTAGAAAGTAATGGGCGCTGCGTGTGAAAGGGATTAGTTCAGTGTGTGATTATCAATTTTGCTTGTTTCTTTATGGCATTGGGCAAAGTTCTTGAGAAAAAGAGAGTCGACGAACGCCAAGGTTTCAGGTGAGGACTTTGTTCGTGGATGTGGGGAACTGTGAATAGACAAAGGAAATGCTTTTTTTGTATTGAATTCAAATATTATATTATCTTTATGTGTCTGTTGTAAAACAATGGAGATTGCATAGCACAGCAAACTGTTTTGATAGATGATTTGTTTTTTAAGATAAACACCGTGGTCATAGTTGTATAAGTTATAGCTCTGTTGTCATGTAATTTTGCCATAACCGTGTAAATTACTGAGTCAAATTACCTTTTTTAAAAGCCAAAGTTAAAGGACGTCTCATAAGAAAAATACACTATAGTATAGTCATCCCTATATCTTCGTAGAAAACGTTAAGATCATATGTGACAAAGAAAATGAATCTTAGAGTATGCCTAACTAAAGTAAATGTATTTGCATAGTTTCGTGTTTTCTTGATAACAAACTCTCTCTCTCTCTCTCTCTCTCTCTCTCTCTCTCTCTCTCTCTCTCTCTCTCTCTCTCTCTCTCTCTCTCTTCTCTCTCTCTCTCTCTCTCTCTCTCTCTCTCTCTCTCTCTCTCTCTCTTCTCTCTTCTCTCTTCTCTCTCTCTCTCCTCTCTCCTCTCTCCTCTCTCCTCTCTCCTCTCTCTCTCTCCTCTTCTCCCTCTCTCCTCCTCTCCTCTCCCCTCTCCCTCCTCCCTCCTCCCTCCTCCCTCCTCCTCTCCTCCCTCCCTCCCCCCTCCCGCCTCCCTCTCCTCCCTCCCTCCCTCCTCCCTCCTCTCCTCCCTCCTCCTCCTCCCTCCTCTCCTCCCTCCCTCTCCTCCCTCCCTCCTCCCTCCTCTCCTCTCCTCTCCTCTCCTCTCCTCTCCTCTCCTCTCCTCTCCTCTCCTCTCTCTCTCTCTCTCTCTCTCTCTCCTCTCTGTCTATTTATCTATCTATGTTTCCTCTCTCCTCTTTCCTCACTCGTGTCTCTCCTCTCTCCTCTCTCCTCTCTCTCTTCTCTCTCGCGACTCGCACACACACGCTTACGCACGCACACGCACGCGCACACTCACACGCACTCACTCACACAACCACACACACCACACACACACACACACACACACACACACACACCACACACACACACACACACACACACACACACACACACACACACACACACACACACTCACACTCACACTCACACTCACACATACACTCCCTTTCGTACACGCAAACCCACACCACATCACACAAACCACATATGCGCAAGCACACACACACACACACACACACACACACACACACACACACACACACACACACACACACACACACACACACACACACACACACACACAACACACACACACTCACACTCACACTCACACTCACACAGTCGGTTACACTCCCTCTCCCACTCCTTTATTTACTGATATGTGAGCCGATAATATATTTCCTGGCAGAAATGTATTTTATGATCTATTTACTTGTTTTCTGCCTTCTGTTTCTATATATCTTTATTTACTATTGTCATCGTATTTATGATATACCAAACGGACAAGCTATGGCATGGCAAAAGCAGAATTAAAGAGAAAAAATCTTTTGGAATTTAAGAAATCTTTTACGGTGTCAAAATCCTCACATTTGACATTTAAGCGAACAGGATGGAAATGTAATCTGGCTTCACTGCTTCGTAAAAAGAAGAAAAAAAAATGATTAAATAAAAGATCAGAAGAACGCGGGAAAAAATTATAATGCTTTTAAAACTGCGATTGGGGGAGCGTTTAAAAAAATATATTTTTTCTCAAGGGATGGCTTATGTTCCTATGATAGAAAACGGTTTTTGAGGACACACTGAAGCAATTATAACATCTTGGCGTAGTGAATGAATAGATTAAGAGATAGACGGTGAATTATGAACATAGAGGTTGACGGTTATACTATTCCGGCCAAAAAAAGAGAGAGGGATGGATGGTAAAATAAATAAATAAATAAAAATTATACTTTAAGGAAATTATCAATAAAAAATAATGGGTAAATAGTGAAGAAAAAATATTGTAGCAAATACATTATTTCCGTAAGGATAAGTATGAGGTAGATGGATAAATAGGGAATAATGAAAAATGCTGAAACAGTAAATTAACCCAGAAAAAAAATCAGGAAAATGAAAAGTGAATAATAAGCAAAATAAAATTCATCCACCTTCTCCCAGTAAAAAAAAAATAAATAAATAAATAAAAGAGATAGTAAATAGTGAAAATACCCCCATAAATAAATGCGAGATGATGCAATTTTCAGTT